TAAATTTGAGCTCAAGAAAAAAAAATTATGGGTGATACGAAAAAAATGGCAAAATGGCTAGTTATAAAGTTGAAATTTGTCTGCACAACAAAAAACTAACCAACCTGTGCACAACACAACATTTTCTTCGAAAGTCGTAACAATAAGCGAAATTAATTACAAAAATTTCAACTTGAAATGCTTGCCTTTCTGCAATCGTTTTTGATTGTGTGTGGGAGATGCTCTAAAAATGAATATAAAATGAATCTCTTTTTGAAACTTTAATTTTTTTGTGGAAAATTTCATCTAAACTAAAACGCTGTCAGAAGATTCAGGGCTTCGCTTTGATATGAGCAGTCTCGTTTTCTTTGTATTCCAGAGTTGAAGAAAAAGCACGCACCGAGCCCCCATAGATTTTAATCATTTTTTATGGGTTTCCACGACAAAGTTAATCCAATACAGATGTATATTTCAGAACACAAAATCAAAAACATTGCCGTTAAAATCGATGTTTTGAGGAAAAAATTATTATTTAATCCAATATAATTAATAATAATCCGATGTTTTGAAACTGAAATTGATTATGTTTGACAAGAAAACCCATTATAATCGATTATGATCCATTTCTTTAGTTTTAGAATTGGTTATTTTTGCAACTCTTGCAAAAACAAAACACTTTTCTATGACTCAACAAAAACAGCTTTGATGAAACTGCCTTCGATTTCCCCAACACCCAACGCAATCCCCCGTCTCCTCACCACGTTCAACCATAACCCAACTCCTCCTACCCAATCCCTCCAGGAGATGAGCAATAAAAGTTTGAGGGAAGGCAAAAAAGATCGTTCCGTTCGGGGAGAGGGGGGACCTCAAAGTAAAAACTCCTACTCTTTTACCAACACCCCCTAAGTTTAGTAAACTAGGGGGGGGGGGGGGGTTAAGGTGAAGGTGGGGCGGTAAAGTTGAGTACAACCCCCGTTCAACCATTAAATAATCCCCCCCCCCCCAAATGGCAATTGATTTGAAAAAAAGTGTAAAACTGCAATGAAACAAGAAAGCAGAGAAAACAGAAATACAGAAAATAAAGAAATTAGAAAGATAAAAAATGTGAATTGTAAAAAGTTATGATAGGCTACGTATTGCGTATCATAACTTTTTACAATTCGCATTTTTTAACTTTTTAATTTCTTTATTTTCTGTATTTCTGTTTTCTCTACTTTCAAGCCAGCAATAAGATAACATTGAAAAAGACTTGTAAATTTGATCTTAAATCTCTCAAAAAAAATCCAACATAATCAATTGTAATCAGTTATTGTAGATTAAATTTACATAAAAATATTGAAGTTATAGTTCATTTTTAATGAATTGTAGTCTATTGTTTTTTAATTTTATAGATACTGGCTAAAAATGACAAACTAATCAATTATGATCCATGCGCGCTCGATGCAGCTACACATTTTAAAAAAAAACTTAACTTAGCCAAATGATATGAACTATTTGAGTGTTCTGTTTGTGCCATTGCTTTCTTGTGCTTAACAAAGGAAAAGATAGGAAAAGATAAATTTGAGAAGATGGAGGAAAAGACCTTTTAAGTCTTCTGCGACGATCATCGCCGAAACCCATTAATTTTTGGGCTCGATCAATTTTAATTAAAACCTGCTTACTATGGATTTCCTGATAGGAGTGCGTCAAAAAAAAATAACGGAGATAAAGAAATTGTACATGTTTCAGTAGCGATGTGTGACGTAGAGTATAGAAACGCATCTCAATAACAACGCACGCACGTTTTTAAAACATTTTTTGGACATCCGAAGTAGATCATACAGGAAAAAGAAAAGTATAAAAATTTTGAATCCTTGATTTGTAACTTAAAACAAATTAATCTGAAAAAGGAGATGTGAAACAGCCAATAAAGTAAATCAAAAATTACATAAGACACATTTAAAACTAATAGAATTATCTTCGGTTGTTTCATGGCCTGAAAAAAGCCAAATGTTTGCTTCTCCCCGAAGAGGGTCTAAATCTTCTCCCCAAAGCTCTAAATTCAATTTCTTGTAGTTTACGAGGCAGGAAAGTAAAGAAAAAAGTAAAAAGTGATGCATCAAAATTTATAGATCCCCATATAAAAAATTCACGCTTGAGGGCATTCTTTTGGCCAACATTTTGTTAAAGTTTCATATTTCAAATGATATTTAAAAATCAACGAAGTTTATCAACTTTGATTTTTGTAAAATCAGCTTAACTTAAAGAAAATTTCTCGAAACAAGACGCAACAAGTTTGAAGAGTTTTTTTCGGCAATTACGGCAATTTTTTTTCTACAATACCTTTTGATTTTCATATATTGTTATTACGAAAATAACTAAAATTGTATAGGTACATGTAAACAAGTATATCCCAAATGCTTGCTAATTCTTCCTTGTTTCTGCGTTATAAGGGACGAAAGAAAAACGTTGAATAGTACTTATCTCAAATAAAACAAAAGCTAATTGGCAATCGGACAAAAATTGCTAATCGGCAAATAATTGATGAAATTGAGCCAATCATTCAAAAAATTTTTATCATGATTGCGTGTCAGATGGAAACGGAAAGTTTAGTACTAATATGTCTATATACCGAGGGTGGTCAGCTTACGATTTGAAACAAAATGTGGGCGCGCTCGATTTGTTTTGTCATCCCCCGTTCAACCATTAAATATTCCCCCCTGTTCAACTATTAACCCCAAACCCGACCCCCGTGATCTTAAGAGAGGTTTGGGGTACGCCAATGGAAATTGAGTTGAAAAAAAAATGTAGGACTGCGTTGAAACAAGAAAGTAAAGAAAATAGATATACAGAAAAAAAAAGAAATTAGAAACATAAGAAATGTGAATTGTAAAAAGTTACGCAATGATACGCAAAACGTAGTAAAAAAAACCAACATAATCACTTATAATCGATTATTGTAGATTAAATTTACATACAAATATTGAGGTTATAGTTCATTCTTAATGGATTTTAGTCTATTGTTTTTTAAATTTTATAGATACTGGCTAAAAATTGACAAACTAATCGATTATGATCCATGCGCGCTCGATGCAGCTGAACATTTTTTAAAAAAAATTAACATATCCAAATGATAAGAACTATTTGAGTGTTCTGTTTGTGCCATTGCTTTCTTGTGGTTAATATAGGAAAGATAGCAAAAGATAAAAGTGAGAAGATGGAGGAAAAGACCTTTTAAGTCCTTTCTTCTGCGTTGGTCATCGCCAAAAAGCATTAACTTTTGGGCTCGATCAATCTTAATTAAAACCTGCGTACTATGGATTTCCTGATAGGAGTGCGTCAGAAGCGATGTTTGACGTAGAGTCCTGAAATCCATCTCAGTAACAACGCAAGTTTTTTTATACGTTTTTTTGGGCATCCGAAGTAGATCATACAGGAAAAAGAAAAGTATAAAAATTTTGAATCCTTGATTTGTAACTTAAAACAAATTAATCTGAAAAAAGAGATCTGAAGCAACCAATAAGGTACATCAAAAATGACATAAAACGCGTTTAAAACTAATAGAATGATCTTCGGTTGTTTCATGCTCTGAAAAAAAAGTCGAATTTTTTTTCTCCCTGAAAAAAGTCTAATTCTTCTCTTCAAAGCTCTAAACTTGATTCCTTGAAGTTTATGAGACGGGAAGTTAGAGAAAAAATGTAATATCTGATGCATCAAAACTTATAGATCACCACAAAAAAGTCACGTTGAAGAGCATTCTTATGGCCGAAAATTTTTTTCAGTTTCATATTTCACATGAAATTTAAAATTCACCGAAGTTTGTCAACTTTGGTTCTTGTAAAATCAGCGCAGCATAGAGAAAATTCCTCGAAACAAGATGCATTAAGTTCGAAGACTTTTTTTTGTCATTTACTGCGTTGTTTTTTCTAGAATACGTTTTCATGTTTTGTTTTTACGAAAATAACTAAAAACTGTATTGGTACATGTAAGCAAATATGTCCCAAGTGCTTGCTAATTCTTCCTTTTTTCTGCGTTATAAGAAGACGAAACAAAAACATTGAAAGTTACTTGCCTCAAATAAAAGCCAATTGGAAATTGGACAAAAAATAGCTAATCGGCAAATAGTTGATGAAATTGAGCCAAACATTCAAAAAAATTTTATCATAATTGCGTGCCAAATGAAAACGAAAAATTTGGTGGGAATTTATCTATATACCGAGGGTGGTTAGCTTACGATTTGAAACAATATGTTGGTGCGCTCGATTTTTTTGTCATCTTTTCACTAAAAAACTGCCATTTTGTTCCTAAAAGTCACCCTCTTCCAAAAATCAGGTCTATTGAATGCTTTGATGACCAGTTTCGTTAATCTGGAAAACAATGCGTCTGAGTGTTCTTCGAAGCGTTTGTGTGTTCAAATGAGTATTTCTTATTTACTGTTTTTTGGGAAATTTGTTTCTTTTAAAATCGCAGAAGTGTAACAATACCACTAAATTACAGGATTCAGGGGAGTCTGAGTCATTTAAACTTCTCGGAATGTTATCCTGTTTTTTCTCATATCATACTTGAGGCGATAAAACCGATTTTCTTTGTTACAGGCATGGTTTCTTCAGATGGGCTTGTTGCTTGTATAGGTCGCACTGAGAAACGCAGTGGGCTTGTATGACATAGAGGAATGGAAAGATACCATAAGGTGACAGGTCGTCGTGAACAAACTGGGCGGCATCGACCTTAGCATCGCGATAACGTTGTGTTTTCTCAAATGAGAACACTTGACATATCACCATATGAATGAGAAATATTGATGAATGGATTGATTGATGATCAAACAAATTAGACCGATATACTTGGTAATTACTTTTCTTCTCGATTAATACTATCATACTCAATTATATCCAATCTAACCTAACAGGTTATTTGATCCACCCATTATAAATAACAGATTTGAAGTCATAATAAACAACATTAACTGTTAGAACACCCTCAATCAGTGCACAATTTTCGATACTTTGCTTTTGACAAATATCCAAAATCTTGGGATTTTTGGACTCTGTGGACTTTGATGGCAAATATCGAGAGAAATAGACATATCAATAAACAGCAAACAAAGAAAAACTGTAACTGATTCAAGCTAAAGTCATTAAACCATTTGGCGACCCTTGGCAGTTTTACTGACAAGGAAAACTCATATACACATTTTCATAATAAAAGCTTTCAAAAATGGTCGAGCTGCTTAAATACATTTGGCCTTTTGAGATTCTCGAACTAGTTTTCGGTCCTGATGTTACAAACTTTCTTGGAATCCTAAACTACATTGCCCATTTCATTCTGTTCCCATTTATGGGCGCCGCAATTCTCATTTATGCCCTGTTTTCCCAATACTGGATTTTTGCTCTTGGTTATCTGGCATGGTATGTGTACGATGCCAAAACTCCCCAACAAGGGCTGTGATGTCCAGTTTCAATCATCAATACTATTAACGTTTTTTTTTCGTCACTTTTTATAATTCCACTGAAATAATCAATTTTTTTTTCAGTATAATTACAAGGAGTTCAGAAAAAAGCATTTACAAAACATTTTAGTTATTTTGAAAATTGCCTCTTCTCAAAAGTTTCTCTCATATCTGGCTGAATGACATACGTGCCTCATACAAATACAGTGCTGATTTAAACTATCCGGACAAAACGAACAAAATTCGAAGTTTCAAACGCGTTTTTTTTTCAACTTGAATTAAAATTAGACAAAAAAGTGAACAAAACAAAGTTACTTCAAATTTCACCCGAATTGTTGTGCTGCTTTTTTGCCAAAATTTTAAACTAAAACTCTAACTGAAAAATGGGTCATTTTGGTTTTTTTAATTAATCAAAAATTATGCTTGAACTATCAAGTTAATTTATGAGAAATATATTTACATCAAAAGAAGCCTCCTAAACAGTCGGACAAAATTCTAACAGGGTAAAACTTTCAAAATTTTGTGAAAAACGTTTGAATTAGTTTTTAGCCAAAGATTTAAATTTTTATATAGTAAAAAACATTAGCTCATCAGCGGATTTAGGGGGAGGAAGCGGGAGGGGGTGTGGGGTGTGGGGTGTGGCGGACGCTCTTCTTTATAAATTCGACCACCAACTTTGTACTCTTTTGAGATATACATGTTTCCGAAAAAGTTTCCGAAAAAGTGCTAAAAACGCCTTTTCTGGCCTGTTTTTCAAATATTCGCCTGCGGCGCAGACAATTTGGTCAAAATAGGGTCTTTAGAGTGATTTGGTAGTGCTCTACAAATCAATTTGGCCGACCTAGAATAAAAGTCGGCAAAATTTTTAATTTTTTTTTAATCTGCCCCCTCGAGAATATACTAGATCTGCCCCTGCTAAAAATAAACTTTTTCTCCATTAAATAAAAATATATTCTCTTATCTAGATTCGCCTGCGGCGCAAATATTCAAATATTCGCCTGCGGCGCAGACAGTTTGGTCAAATTAGGGTCTTTAGAGTGATTTGGTAGTGCTCTACAAATCAATTTGGCCGACCTAGAATAAAAGTCGGCAAAATTTTTAATTTTTTTTAATCTGCCCCCTCGAGAATATACTAGATCTGCCCCTGCTAAAAATAAACTTTTTCTCCATTAAATAAAAATATATTCTCTTATCTAGATTCGCCTGCGGCGCAAATATTCAAATATTCGCCTGCGGCGCAGACTATTTGGTCAAAATAGGGTCTTTAGAGTGATTTGGTAGTGCTCTACAAATCAATTTGGCCTACCTTGAATAAAAGTCGGCAAAATTTTTAATTTTTTTTTAATCTGCCCCCTCGAGAACATACTAGATCTGCCCCTGCTAAAAATAAACTTTTTCTCCATTAAATAAAAATATATTCTCTTATCTAGATTCGCCTGCGGCGCAAATATTCAAATATTCGCCTGCGGCGCAGACAATTTGGTCAAGATAGGGTCTTTAGAGTGATTTGGTAGTGCTCTACAAATCAATTTGGCCGACCTAGAATAAAAGTCGGCAAAATTTTTAATTTTTTTTTATCTGCCCCCTCGAGATTATACTAGATCTGCCCCTGCTAAAAATAAACTTTTTCTCCATTAAATAAAAATATATTCTCTTATCTAGATTCGCCTGCGGCGCAAATGTTCAAATATTCGCCTGCGGCGCAGACAATTTGGTCAAAATAGGGTCTTTAGAGTGATTTGGTAGTGCTCTACAAATCAATTTGGCCGACCTAGAATAAAAGTCGGCAAAATTTTTAATTTTTTTTTAATCTGCCCCCTCGAGAATATACTAGATCTGCCCCTGCTAAAAATAAAGTTTTTCTCCATTAAATAAAAATATATTCTCCTATCTAGATGTTTGGATATTTTATATGTCTGGATATTTTTCGGCTGTGTAAAACGCTTCTTTTGCTATAACTTTCAAATCAATTATTTTGATAGTTTTAGCGTAATTTTTGGTTAATAAAAAAAGCCAAAATGATCCATTTTTTTTGAAGTTGTAGCTAAATTGTTTGCAAAAAGCAGCACAACAATTCCGGTGAAAATCCAAATAACTTTTGTTTTCTTCGTTTTTTGTCTTAATTTTAATTCAATTTGAAAAAAAAAACGCGCGTGAAACTTCAAAGTTGGTTTATTTTGTCCAGATAGTTTAAATTCACACTTTATACAAAAAAGCCAAGTTGAACTTTTTTGAGGTAAAAATTTGGTTGAAAATTTTTTAAATTGCACAAGAATAATTTTGATAAAATTTTAAGCAGTTTTTGTTCTGTTCAGTTTTTGTCTAATTCAAAATCAATTTGAGAAAAACAACGTTTAAGTTTCCAATTTTTTCGTTATATCCGAATAGTTTTAATTAGCACTGTGCAGCAAATTTACTGACGTTTTCACCAGAATTATTTTGGTACATTTATTTCCCGAAATTTTGAACCGAAGTTTGATTGCAAAAATGGGTCATTTTAGTATTTTTTAGTTAATCAAAAACAACCCTAAGTTATCGATTTAATTGATACAAAGTTATATCAAAAGAAAAATTGGGTTAAAAATATTTAGAAAAAAATTGCCCCATATTAGTTCTAATGAACTTCGTAGTAAGTTTTGCTCTCTTCACATTTTGTCTAATTTTAAAACATTTTGAGAAAAACGCGTTTGAAATTTCGGTCCGGAAAGTCCGCGGAAAGTCCGGTTAATTTAAATCAGCACTGCAGTCTCGGTATCGGTGAAAATTCTTTGCCATCGATTCAGAATTTCGGAAAATGGTTCCTATTCAAATGCCCTGCTTTTTTATAGATTAAATATTTTGACTCCAGTGTCGTGCGCATGAACTTTTAAAGCGAGAAGGGGTTTTTTTTCGAAAATGGCTAATATGTTAAATTTGGTAAATCATTTCAATTTTTTTGCTCGATCAAAGAATTGGAATGACTCATAATTTTGAACCTGAATGAGAAAAAGTTGGCAGTTAGAATGGCGGTTTACCACTGCTTTGCCCCCTCGACGCGCCAATGTGTGATTTATTCAAGGCCTCTTAATTGATACCAGAAACAAGCCAGCAATTTTTTATCTAACAAATAAACTGAAATGACTCAACTTAAAAACTGGACATCAATTTTAAAGGTGGTCGTTTGATTGAGTGGTCTCACTCATGGAAAGCATGGAAGAGTATCAGAAACTACTTTCCCATAACACTGCACAAGGACGGAGAGCTGGACCCGAAGAATAACTACTTACTAGGGTAACACCAGATTAGATGGAAGAAGAAAGTTTTTATACGCCAGCAGATATTCAATACTAAATCATTGGCATATAAATATCCTTATTACCAATAATTTTATAATAATTTTAAGACGGTTCAAGAAAACTTTCGTAGTCACTTCTAAGCTATTATAGCGTAATTCATAGATTTAAAGTACTCAAACAATAGTGTCCACGGCCAGCAGTACAGAAAAATATCTTAAATCCGACTGCATGGTGAGTGCAGAAAAAATTTTAATGAAATAACCAAACCCTTTTCATACAAGTTGAAAACATTTTCATTTCCATCCTTGTTAAGTTGGTTCATATTTCCACTTTTTTTGAATGCATCTCTAATTTTTTTGCGCCCGAAAACTGCATGTAGACATAAATCAAGAATTGTAATATTCCTATTAAGTGACAGCAGGTGTGTGGAAATAGGATCGTATTAATCATCATTTTCTATTCTTTTCGACCAGACGTCCATGGATTTTTGGAAGTTGTAGAGCAGATTAATTACGCCTATGCTGAATATTAGAAGGGGCTCGAAATTCTTAATGTACTTTTGAACACTTTGCATAGCAGCCGCTTCCATCTGTAGGTATCATCCACATGGTATAACTGTGTACGGGGCATTTGCCAACTTCGGCGCCTGCTGCACCGGGTTTGAGGAGCTGTTTCCGGGAGTGAAGTGCCGACTGATGACGATAGAAGTCTACTACAAATTTCCCTTCTTCAGAGAATACCTGTTGTTCTCAGGTGAGATGAGTTTAAACTTCAATTTTAAATCACCATAGTGATTGGAAGAACAATGGCGTGGGGTTCATTTTTACAGCCAATTTTAACAACCTCAATGATAGCTCCTAGGTATTCAAGCATTGTAAAAGGAAGCATCTTAAATTCCCATTGGACGTGATTCTGAATCTAGAAAAAATTAAAAATTGTCTCAGTGTCGAGATTTTCTTTTGTTTTTCAGACTAAGTTAGACTAAATTTGATGAAAAGCTGACCTCCCACGTTTCACCCTTCTGTCATTTTAATATTAGTTATCGCTTTTTGCACTTTTATCTTAAGTCAATCATCCTGTCTAGAACGAAAACGGAAAATTTAAACAAAAAGTTCTACAAAAAAAACACTTTTTGTGAACTATTTTTTGATTGTTTTAAAAAAGAATCGATTGTTTAAAAAAAAATTCTATAAACCTTTCGTGTCAGAAAATCTGAACTTGCTCCATTTGCCAACTTTTTTCTTAAGAATAACCATTCATCAAAATAAGCATTTTTGAACCTTTTCAATCACCATTTTAGTGTCTAGCAATAACGTTTAGCCATTTATGGTCGCCTCAATGACAGCAGCTTATGTTCTTAAATTAAAACTCAGTCTCTCAAAAGGAAGTGCGTACAATTTTCTGATGATTCTGCCATTCGTTTGATTAATTAAAGAGTTTGTTGCTAGTATGCCAACTCTGCGGCGCTAATGTAAAAACAAAATCTTCATTTCTTTTTCTTTTTTTTTTTCATATTTTTTCCCTCATTTCTTGATTATAGATGTTTCATGATGCACATTTTAAGTTTCATTGACCACCAAAATATCAGCATATGTTTTTTTTCAAGATTTATATAAAGACTTATATTTCACCTACCGCGGGATTCATTCAACTAATATGAAGGGATCTCTAAGAAACTTTTGTTTCGTGGTAAAACTTTGTGTTCACATGAACCAAAGAGTGACAATACATCTAACTTTTCAAAATGTTTGACAGAAAAAAAATTGTAATCTATTATCATAGATTCTAATAGGTTATATAAGATTATAAGAGATTATAATAGGTTTTCGGAATAAATAAAAATCAATTATAATTGGCTATAATTTGTTATAATGCCTCGAAAAATGTTATCATTATAAAGGATTAAAAATCTTTTAAACATCTAAATTTGGCGCTTATGATTAATTATGATTTTTTTAAAAAAGTGCAATTATAATTGTAATATAATAGCACTTTTTGGAAAATTTTAGACAAAAAACCGCGTTGGGCCCATTTAGGAAAATTTATAACAAAAAATTTGCGTTGGGGACTTTTGGGTCGGCAGGGGATCGAATCCTTGAGGGAAGAGAAGCGTCCGCCCCCCAAGACCCCCCCCCCCCCCAAATCCGCCCCTCTCTCAGTGTCCTAAAGTTGTGCTAAGTTTTTTTGTTGCTCAGACAAAATAATACGTTATTTGAAAATACTCCCAATTAAGTGCTTCTAAATTTCTTACAAGATTTAAAATTTTAATCATCTCTTCTCGCATTTTCTTACTAAACTATCTATCGTTGAAAAAATTAATCTTTTTTGAAGAAAAAATATGAATTTTTTTTGATTTCGTGTGTTTAAAGTAGCAAAAGTAACACAACCGCTTCCACCTCCCCCATTTCCCCTTACTAGCATTGGACCCCTTGGCGACCCACGGGCTCCCTACTTTGGTACTATTTCACGAAAACCATTTTCGGTCCACCAAATCTAAAACTTCTCTATATTCCTTGCCCGAGAAAGATTGAATACTTCAAAATAATCGTAGATTTTTACTTCGAAACGAAACGCCGACTGCTCCAAAAATGTTTGACCTGCAAAAGTCTGCTTGCCTTCAAGAAATGCCCAATCCTCGCCTGAAAAATTTGATGCCATTTGAAAAAAATTCCAGATCCTGGCCTAGAAAAAGGTCTTCAATTTCACAAAATTATCGCTCTCGAGATTAACCGTGTTAGTTCAATCCGTTGTCGCCTGCTCAAAATTTATTTGACGGATTAGAAATGCAAACAATTCTATTGGTTATTGTCAATCACTGTTGAGCACCTGATAAAGAAAGCTTGCTAATTTGCAATTAATTGCACTAGGGGCATGCAATGTGCACCGTGACAGCTACCGAGCCCTGTTGGGTGGGGAGAAGAAGGGAGTGGCGGCGTGTGTGGTGCCTGGAGGGGCAGAGGAGTCCCTGGAGAGTGTGCCTGAGAAGATGGTGCTCATTCTCAACAGCAGGAGGGGATTCGTTAAGATGGCCATTCGCACTGGGTGAGTAACTAAAAGTCTACATGGGCCCAACTCGTGTTTTTTTTAGCGTGGGCGAAGAATTGTAAATTTTGAGGCAGATATAGCTATAGATGTTTAGTTATAGTTTGTTTATGATGCAGATTTTAATTTATGGTGTGGGTTAAGTTTGTGATGTCTTTCCAATTGGAGCATTGATTGTTGATAAGTTGAAAAATTTAATGCAGCTTTTCCCACAATTTCTGCAATTTTAATCCTTTAAAAATGAATACCATGTTTGAGAACGGTAGTAGATTTGCATAACAACCATCAAAGATTTCTTGAAAAGATATTGACCATTTTCAAATATTTTGAACACAATCCGTCAAAAATCATGAGATTAACATTTAGAGCACACCTGGTGCCAGTGTTGTCATTTGGGGAAAACGAAGTGTACATGCAAGTGCCCAACCCCAGAGGCAGTCTATTGAGGAAACTGCAGACCAACATGATGCACTTGATCTCCTTCGCCCCTCCCATATTCTACGGGTGGAAAGGGACTATCGTCCCATTCAAGAAACCCATCAATACTGTGGGTCAGTATACATTTCATACATTCTTTCGAATAATCGAAAAAACGTCGCATTCTTATTTTGCCGAAACTGATCTTATTTCAATATATTTCCAGCTTTGATTAATAAATGTTCAAAAGTCACAGTGTAGAATTGAGTTGAGTAAATTTTGAAGACTTTTTCGGAAGAAAATGAAACGGCTAAAGCATAGATGTTGGAGTGATTTCGCTTTGCTATCTCGTCAGACTTTATTTGTTCACAATTGTTTTTTTTTCATGGCACTCTTAGTTGGCACTCCGATCCCTGTGAACAAAGTGGAGGAGCCCTCGTGGTCGGAAGTGTGCGAACTACACGAGAAGTACAAACAGTCCTTGAGAGATCTGTTCGAAAAGTACAAAGGACAATTTGGATACTCGGAAGACTACAAATTGGAAATTATCTGAACAAACTCATGTAAAAAAAACTAAACTAAACATACAAGTCATCTTGCCTATATTTCATATAAGTAGCAAATTTAGGGGAGGGAAGCGGACCCCCAGAAGTATTCGATCACATTTTCACCCAAACGATCCCCTTTGGTACTATTATTCAACATCCACTTTTGGTCAATTAACTCAAAATTTTTTCTTAGAGAAATTTCAGTGCCACTATATGCTAATTTTGAGGGAAAGATGCGCACCAGGAAACGCAAGATTTTGGTCCAAACTCTTAAGAAACTGCCCAAAAAATAGCGGTTTTGGCCTGTTCTTTGAAAAGTTTGTCAGCGGTGCAAAAAAAGGTATTTATAAGGTTATGGGAGAGCAATTTTTGTCAACCTAATAGAAAACGTTCAACTCCTCAACGTTTCAGATCTTTTCGAATCCCTTTTTCCTCATCATTCTTCTTCGTTAAGAACTGTTCTTTGCTATAACCTCGCTATCCTCAATCGCAATTTCAATTTTTACATAGCATTATATAGATTGAACTATTCAAAACAATGGAGTAAACGAAAAATAATCATTTTTATAATTTCATTTTTTTGCTGCAAACCTTCACTTTTTCTTCAACTTAGTTTCAACCAGAAGAACGCTTTTTAATACAACCAATAAATAAATGAAAAAAAATAATAAAAGAAGAAAAAAACACTAAAAATGAAGAAGATAGTTAATCTGTTTTACTTATATAGTGCTGACTTAAGTTAAACGGACAAATCGATCAAAATTTGAAATTTCAAAGGCGCTTCTTTTCAAATTAGTTGTGATTTGGACAAAAAGGAAAGAGATTAAAAAGTCCTTAAGATTGCACCAAAAACATGGTGCTTTTTTCCCTAAAATTCTTAACCTAAATTTCAGTCAAACAATGTGCCAATTTGGTTTCATTTGGTTTTTATTATTATTCAAAAATTACGTTGAAATTATCGAGTTAAAATCAAACAACCGAGTTAAGATATCAAAAAAAGTCTCTTACTTAACCCAACAAAATTTTAGCAGGATAAAAATTTCAGAAACTTCTATAGGAGAATTTGTTTTTGGTTGATAGCCAAAACAGGTAGTTTTTTTACATAACAAACAAAATCGTTGGTTAAAACAAAGTTCAAATTTATTTTATTAACTTTGTCGGGTAGTGTAAGAGGCTTCTTATGGTATAGTTATTTCATCAAATAATTGATAATTTTAGCGTAATTCTTAATTAACTAAAAAGAAAAACAAAATTACCCATTTTGGGGAAAAGATTTTGGCGAAACAATTTAGAAAAATTAATTTTACCCATATTTCTGGCTTCAGGTGCATCAATTACACCAATTAAATCTGGTGAAGCTCTAAGCAATTTTTGTTCTCTTCATTTTTTGTCTAATTTTGTCTAATCCTGTCTAATTTAACCAACGCAATTTGAGAAAATGCCTTTGAACTTTCAAATTTTGTTCGGTGGTCCAGATAATTTAAATCAGCACTGTATGTTGTATCAGGTTTTCAATTTGTCATTTTGCGCAACTTGAGATAATTATTGTTCCAGCCAATACTCCAAAAAATGTGGAGGATTTTTGTTTTTGTATTAGATGGTGTTTTATTGTTCCGATCATATGAAAAATGTGGAGGAACTTGTATTTGGGTGTTTTAGTTTATTTGTTTGTCTGTTTTCCACGTAAAATCAGATACCAGAAATAACCTTCTGAAAAATTTTTCACTTTTAGTGGCTATTTTTTTGTTTTTTAGTCAAAAACTGTTTTCCAATGGGCCTTTTTAATATGATTGTCAAATATATAAAAAATCCATTGTTTTCGTTCTGATCTTTTTATGACACCACGCAGAAAAAACTAGGCTAATTTGAAAAGTTTCTATTGTATTTTTTTACTATGGTCGGAATATTTTTTGCTACAAGCGCAGTAACCGGCTATCAAGGATTATTAGCTTCATCGAAATTAGGGCAAAGCAATTTGTCATATTTATACAGTCTAAGAATTAGTTAAATCAATTGCGAAACACCTTGTTCGATATGTTACGACAGTCAAGAAATGTAGAAATTTTCCTGAGAAAAAGCGTGAAAAAACCATGTGACCAAAATCTACTCAGGCTTATGTTTCATAAATATCACAAAATAGTTTTCAAACAACTAATCAGTCATACGCACTTTATAACCAAAACTAAAAAAGTTATGTTTTTTCATATTCAGGTCAACAAATACATTTGATGACAAAATATCTCCAAGTTTAGTTGCTAGGCCCAGCAGTAGGTAATTTGCTGCAACTTTGCATAAAAATTTTCTTCCGAAAAGAAAACACTGTTGCATAATTCTTCCTATGATTTTAATTTTCGAAGAATGACATGGCTAATTTCTAGAACTTTTTTGGTTACTTTAAATGGAAACTTTCAATGGTTGTCAACCAATCAATATATGATAAAACTGGAACGACAGAACTTCTTTTCAGTAGTGAAGGCACTACAAAGGGTGATCCACTAGCGATGTTATTCTATGAGTCTTCATTGATGCCATTGTTTGAATCACTCAAAGACCGAGATAAGTATTTACAAACTTGGTATGCAAATGATTCGGGAGCTCTCGGCCCACTAGAAAACCTGGTTGAATGGTTGTCATTTTTGACTGAAAACGGCCCGAAGTATGGCTATTACCCCGAGCCAAGCAAAAGTTATTTGGTTGTTCACCCGAACTTTGTTGAAAAAGCTCATCAATTGTTTGACAGGTTCGGCATCAGAGTAGTTGAAGGTAGAAGATATTTGGGCGGATTTATTGGCTCTGATGAAGGAAAAATTCGTTTCACTTTAAAAAAAGGTCCAAGAATGGTTGGATTGTCTTGGCGAGTTGTCCAAAGTGGCAGAAAAAGAACCTCATGCTGCTTTAGTGGGATTAAAAAGATACCTGCAATGCGAATGGAATTTTGTCCAGAGAGTAGTCAAAGATACGTCGCAGTTGTTAGCTCTTCTTTAGAAGATGTTGGAGGAAAAGTTTTTGCCAAGCTTACTAGGAACTTCTAGTATCACACACTCACATCGTGTTTTGTATTCACTTCCTGCCAAAAGAGGGGGACTAGGTGTGCGAAATCCAATAGAAGGTGCCGAACTAGCTTTTTCCACTTCACGTGAAGCAACCGACTGTCTCGTGAGTTTGATCCTTCTCCAAGATGATTTCGATCAAACTCTACATAAAACAAAGATGAGAGAAGCAAGAAAAACCACGAATAGAAACAAAATGCTGTGGACAAAGATAAACTCGATGAATTGCTTGCAGTTTTACCAACAGATCAGAAACGACCGATCCGGAGAATAATCGACAACAATTGTTCCTTGTGGCTAACTTCGCTGCCCTTGTTGAAAGATAATTTTGATTTTTCAGCCACAGAGTTCAGAGACGCTCTATGTATCAGGTACAGAAAACCACTCAAACGTTCTTTCTCGAGATGCGATGGATGTCAACAAGATTTTGACTTACAGCATGCACTTTCTAGCAAGAAGGGCGGACTGGTAACACTACGACACAACGAAATAAGAGACGCAGTGGGCGATCTTGCTTCAATTTTGTGGAAAGATGTGAAAAGAGAACCTGTCGTAAAAGAACCAGATTTAGAAAATGGAACCCCGGCACTAATTGCAGATCTTTCAGCTCGTGGAGTTTTGAGATAGACAGTCGGCTGCGTCGTTCGACATCCGTGTTACAGACACTGACGCTCCGTCTTACCAAAACCGCAATCCCATGAATGTACTGAAAACTGCAGAGATTGAGAAGAAAAATAAGCATGGACCAGCTTGTGAAGAAAAGCACATGTCTTTCACTCCACTTGTCACTTCAATAGATGGTGTTTTGGCACCGGAGTTCACGTTTTTCCTCAAACAACTAGCAGATGGTCTGGCATCAAAATGGGACCGCCCATATAGTCATGTTATGTGCTGGGTGAGCTGTAGAATTTCATTCGCTATACTAGGAGCAACCAACATTTGCATCAGAGGCACAAGATCCAAATGGCGATTCCTCGGCGTTGAGGACGGTTACACAATTGGAATGGCATTCTAAAAGTTCACACGCTGTTAACTGGGGCTTTCATCGCGCATAACTGACTCCTATGATATTAGAATTTCGACACCATTTGCATATTATTTCGAAGCATATGAGATATTTGAAGATAAAAACACAGGATGACAACTGTAAACAAGCAACGAAAAACTTTTCCTTGCACCATTCGAAACCAATTTATTTTGATTGAATAATTAAATAATTAATTATTCAACTTTAAAAAATTTTGATCACATTCTGCAAGTAATTTACTATTGATTTTTTTCCAAAAAAAATATATATGATAAAATATCCCAATTGGACAAAAAAATAAACTTCACAAATTGATTTGTACTTTTTTAAACAAAATTGATTGTTCAGAAAGAACATCTGCTGTAAGTTTTTGTTCTTAAAAGTTTGATTGAAAAATTGTCATTGCAGTTGATTTTCTTTTGCTTATGACATGTGAAATTATTTTTCACTGAAATGTTTGTTAACTCACCTGTTTAACCTTTAGTTTGTTTGATTCTTAGATATCTAAGTTTCTTCAGTTTTTTACCATACTATTTAGGCTTTCAGTTTTAAAATGAAGTCTGCTGTTAGAACAAGAAGTGTTCTCTTTGCATTGAGAAACAAAATCGGCCGGCAAAAAATTCTTGAAATTTTTCAAATACACATTGCTCAGATCTGAAAAACTTGGTTCGATTTTTTGATATCGCTTCCTATTTTTTGCCTGAAAATAACATAAAAGTAACACACAAGGAATTAATCTAAGTTTCAATCCATTGGGCGTCAAGCTGATTTTTAAAATTTGAAAAACGAATTCTTTCACAATGAAACGGGGTTTTTAAATCAAAAAGCAAAAATTTAAGAAATTGACCATTTTTCGCCATATTTTTTGAAGGTTTTTTGACTGTCAGCGTTGATTTGATGCTTGCTTCTGCCCTGCAGTCATTAACGAGTAAACTTTATATTTTATTTATTGTAGAAAAAGAAGATCAAATTTTGTGTCTCGATAGAAACTGGGTTGCTTTCGAAATAAGTATGCATCGCCGCGCTGAAAAAATAGTGTTATTATATAGTGTCTCAATCATCATCGGATTTAGAGGAAATTCGTAACAAAATTTGTAATTCGGGGGGGGGGGGTGGCGGACGCTCTCTCAGGGATTCGACCCCTGCCGACCCAAAGGGTTCCCTCTCTGTAATATTTTGAGGCATCCATTTTTGGCTGAGTGACCTTAATATTCTTATAAAGGCGCGTTTGGCGCCAAAATACACTAATTTTGAGGTGGGAGCGCGCACCGAAAAAATGCGATTTATTTTGACAAAATTTTTCAAAAAAAGCCTTAAAACGCCTTTATCGGCCTGTTTTTTTTAAATTTGGCTGCGGCGCAGAAAATTTTGTCAAAATGGGTTTTTATAGTGATTTCGGCAAGCTCAGAATATCAATTTGGTCGACCTCAAGAAAAGGTTGATTAATTTTTCAATTTTTTTCGTCCCCCTCGAGAAAATCCTAGATCCGCCAAATAGAATGCTTAGATAGAAG